TTCCCATTGAAGCGACAACCAGCTTTTCTTTTTGGCACTTGGCATGCGTATGGCACTACTTGGCAAAACAACGAACAAACATGTGGATCTTGGGGATGTACCACCACAAAAAACCAATTGTCACCTAGCTTGCAACACTCTCCACATGAGTGCCGGCGCAAAATGGATGGTCGCCGAAGGCCTGCAAGTTTTTTGTCCGCGCGATGAGCTATGGTCCCCTCATCCAGTCCTGCCCCACCCACACAGCTCTCGGCGTGGAGTGTTGGAACTGTTCTGAGAAGCTGGTTTTTGACAGAGCCTGAGTTTACTCCACTGCGCGAGCTGTCTGGTCAAACTCTTCAAGAAAGATCGCGGTGCACAATAGGTACCGCTCGAAAACCCTTTTTGTGCAGGTCTTTCCGTGACATCTAATTGCTATGTTTTTCAACTTACCAAGAAATGCTTCTTCTTGAAATGTGTGATACACCGCTGGGTTCAGTCGATGGTTCTTTACGTCCTCAGCTATGTGAAGGTTGTAGTGTGTCTTGCACCGGAGTTTGAAGAGCATCTGTCTCCTGGGGAAATGAGCAAGGGACCAAAAACCCAAACTCTTATGCCATGAACAAGGGTTTCAAAGTAGCCGGTGACTCTTTAGATGTGGGTTCATAAAAGAGGGGTATTGCTCTAGTTTCATCCCACTGTGGTTGAATACAACGTGATGATTCCAGAACTGCATCGCGCATGAATCCTTTGATAGAAGAAAGCCGCCAACCAGAAGTAAGCTCGAAGGTGAACTGAGAGACACTCGTGCACCTCTCCGGCTTCCATTTCTGTCAAGACAACGCCTGCCAGGTCCATGACCTCACAACTCCTTTGGAGTCCGAAGGCGCACGCTGCTAGAACATGCAGCAACGGATCCTGATGGGAGGTGGGTCCCAAAAAGCTCATACGATGACTTTCACCCAAACACTGACTGAACTCTACTCCAAAAAAGGTGTCCGCTTTCCAAATGAGCGGTTTCAAACTGTTTGCAACTAAAAGATTAAAAGAAAACATATATTGGTGTGGCTGTTCATTGAATAGAGGGTCTGTGCTGTCACGAGCCAGCTGCTCTGATTCTTTTGCGACCCACCAGACGAAGAGCTTGATGTGAGATGCTTTCCACCTGCTGCCCATGGTGAAATATCCATCTTCCCCTCCAATATTTGCCAATGTGAGGTTAGGCTTGCACGGAAGCGATAGCCTATTTGTGCATGACATGAAAAGAGGGAAAACCTTTGTTGCAAAAGTTTTTGACAACAAGAACCCCTGTTGCCACCCAAAGAACTGCTAAAAGAACATGTTGTCAACACGAGTACCAGGCGCCCATGTTCACGACACATTGATCTCATCCGGCGGTGGACAAGACATAGAAGCTCACCCATTCCCTTTGTTCTTGGGTCACCAACTAGGCCATTATCGATGAAGACCTTGATGGAACTTGCGCATAGGTCTCGAGCTGTGCCCAAAAAGAAGTTGTGCGTGAAGTCATAGGTAATGGACAAAAAATTGAACCCGGGCATGCATCTCCAAGGACTCAAAGAGGCGTGATCTAAAGCCATGTAGGTTTCATGCGAGATTGCCGTCATGGGCCAGGCTGCATCGCTTGCGATGTTTCGATAGTCCATGCTGCGCGGGCACTTAGTGCCCTGCGTTGCCAAGCAACGATCGCAAAACCTGAGGTAGTGGGATTGCACCTGTCATTTGTGGAGGTACCAACCAACACAAAGCACACAAACCTTTGCACCTGTTTTCATACGACCCTGTCGAATAGGAGAACTTTGCTTGAGCTTCTGGGGCACTGGTTGCATCGGTAGTATCGTGGCAACTCATGAACCTCCTTCCTTGCCTTCAGATCCCCCTTGAAGGCAAAGTAGCAAGCCCTGGAAGATGCATGACTTGTAGCTTTCGGGGGAACAGATTCTTGCAAAAGAAGCTTCAATGAGTACACTAGTGAGTACACTATCAACTAATCGAAAAGAATTTGTCAACAGCCAACTGTCCTCCAACCAAGGGCAAGTTCTGCCCCCATCAGGTGCTCCCTCGGGGTGCCAGCCAAGCTTTCACCCATGAAGCCTCTCAGAGGTCCGGTACCGCGAGCAGCTATGTCCATTGACCAGGACGTCAGCTGGGCTATCTTTGTGTTGACAGCAGCTCGAACCTGGGATCTCACACCGGCTTCAAGAACCTTTGGATGTTTTTGGATAGGGAAAATACACCATGCTTGAAACAATTGTATTTCAAGACCATCCAAGCAACTTGAGGGGTCCTCATGTGTCGCTCTGGAATTACAGCTATAGGCCACTTGTAAAGGAGCACATCCTTCACCATCCCTTGGCCACCCCAAACACTTGACCACGACCAGACGAAGTACTCGTCTTCTCTATAAAATTGGACTCCATCGGCGTGTATGTTGCACCCGATCAAGCGTTTCTTCGAAACTCCCGATTTCAATACAGGGTGGTGCTTCCAAGGTGGTAGGTCCTCCACGTGGTCCCAAAAAGCAACCCGGGCATCGTCAGACAAATTCCCCAACAGTAGGCTGTCAAAAGCATTGCGACCAGCGAGGGCATGAATCACTTCGTGAGGCAGAAGCACATGCACTTCTGTATCAACTGGCTTAGCTTTCCAGCCATTCACCTGTTCAGCGTCTGCTGACCAAAGTCCCCAAGTTTTTTTGGGGGGGAGAGTTTGATGAAAACACATGCTATGAAACGCATGCACTTGAGTCAAGACACTTCCAAGTCCATATGCACAACATACGGCTGCAACGAAAACTGATAGAGGTTTCGCAGCCACCTATGCAAGTCCCTCTCTGCGTTTCCAGGATTGGCGCCAGAAGTGCCAAGCGTGGAGAAGGCGACGATAGCTTCGTGGGGGCAGTTGTGGTCTTTCACCTAGAGCGGAGACGACAAAGTTGAATGGAAGCTCTCTATTCACACGAGGCTTTTTTTTGCAAGAAGAACGACATATTGTCAGAATCTTCTAAAGAAAGTTGAAAAGAAGTTCTCAATTCGCACAAGGCATCCCAACAAAAACATAATTAGAATCAGATCAAAGCTTACAAGGCATTCTCAATAAGCGTCGAATTTTCTAGAGATTTCAGCGGCAGCCTCTATAGATAGCTTGCCCCGCCCAATCAAATCGATGAGTTTCTTGACAGTTGCACAGTCTGCCATGCTTTCCAATCGCTGACGTTTCCTGCGTGACACGTTTCAGGACATCCTGTTGACGCTCGCGCTCCATGCATGCACACGGCCGTCCTCGTCGTGTGGTGCAAGGCAAGGGAGCCTGGCGAATGGTGGAACAATGGACATGTGCAACACTTTGTTCATGTGCGAATGTGAAAGCATTGGGATCCAAAGCTCAACGTGTTTCCATTCACCAACTGCATCAAACATGGATGTCTCAGAAAGCCCTGGGTCTAAAGCTCACCCCAAGCTTTTACCATGTATAATGAAAGCTTTGCATCTTGAAGCACAGTGAAAACCATGCACTTTTTTTCGCGTCCACCTGAAAGATTTCTCGACTTAAGCAATGGTACCAGGAACAGGTTTCGCTGTTGGCTATGGAACCCTTGCGTGTACACCCCAGTGCATGTGTTCAGCACTTGCACTACCGAAAGTTAAAATTGGTGAGAGCCCTTCTCTCTCACATGTAGGCAACCCTTACTTCTTTGCTTTTGCGTCCTTCTTCTCTTTGGGCTTCTTCTTTGGGTTAGGCTTCTTCAAAAAGGCCGAAGCTGCGGCCTGTCAACAGTTGGCTGTGTGTGCGCATCCGCGTCGAAAACCGTGGGAAACAATGAAGCTGAACAAGCGCTCGCTGTAGTTTTGGTGAGGTGGTGGGGGAAGGCAACAATTTGGAACAAACAGACATGTTAGAGAAGAATGCCAAGCCTGCGCTTGCTCCACAGCGGCCAACCGGGCTCCAGTTGTAGCCAAAACAAGCTTGACCTCCTTCTCGGCACCATCGTGGACATGCTTTGAAAGCAGCTTGTAGTGTTTCTCCAATTCCTCAGCTTGTTTCAGCAAGTTGTCCGACAGCTCCTTGGCATACTCCATGCCAGCAAGCTTGAGGGATGAAGTCCGACAATCAGCCGCCGCTTTCAAAACATCAGGCAGCGAGGTCTTCCCTTTTGCCACCCAAGTAAGGGGGGTGACCGGCTCAGTCTTTTCTTCCTCTTTTGGCTTTGGCTTTCTCTTTGGAGCTGCGCTGACCTGCGCAGGTGGGTTTTGGTTTGTTGGGAGGCTTGGGTGAAAGGCGCACTAGATGAATGTTTTGAAGCTTGTAGAAATACTGAAGGAGGACTTGTTGCCATGCAAAACTTTAGATTCTTTAGATAAATAACATAATCGCAGGAATCCTGACTGCGTGAAACACCCCGCCTTTTCCCCAATGGCTTCCATGAGAGCTTTGTTTCCACTGGCGCTGGCCACAGTGACTTTTGGCAAAGCACCAGCCTTCATCAAGCCATTCTCTTCGTTCGTAATGGCTTGTCTCATGTCCTCGTTCATGTCCAGTCTAGCGCCCAACATCATAGATTCTGTGACCTCCACCTTGTTTGTGAGAGCTTCTCCTTCTTTGACAAAGTACCATGTCTCCTTGGATCGGAGCCGGGCAACCGGTTTTGGTGAGTTGGACGCTGTATTCAATAACCCCAAGTAAAGTAAGTATATATTTCCACAAAACTCAACAGTTGATTTTGCAGTGAAAAATGACAGGGCTTGGGTGCTGCCATGCTTCATCATCATCATCGGGGAAATCATCGTCCTTGTAGTAAAGCCCTTGTTCCAACCGTCGATTCTTTACCTGCTCCCACTTTTCTGGTGTGTAGCGCTGCTTGAGTTCTTTCCCCTGTATTGCCTTCCAGCCCTTCTTTGCCACGTTGCTCTCCTGGTGCTTTCGTTCGACTGCCAAAGCACAGGCTGACCAGCTGAAGTCTGAATCAAGCCACATGTTGAAGAGCTCGGTTTTGTTGTTCTGGTAGCTGTCATTGAGCGAGATGGGCATTTTGGTCTTCGCCTGTCTGGTAAAGGTGCCCCATTCCTTTTTGTTGGTCACCGAATTCCTCATGGTTTGAACAGCATCCCTTGTCGTGGCGACGACTGGGACCAAAGCATGCTCATTCACAGGTGGTACTTTCTCAGGTGCTTCATCTTCTTTTTCGTTTCCTTCTTCCTCCGCCTCTGAGGAACTGCTATCCTCATCACCCTCACCCTCCTCTTCTGTTTCTTCAGTGCTGCTGCCATCATTGCCCTCATCCCCCTTAACCTCCTTCTCGATGTTCTCTTCTTGTTCTTCCTCGGATTCTGGTTGTTCTTCTCCTTCACTAGCTTCTTCTTCTTCTTCTTGTTCTTCTTGTTCTTGTTCGTCTGCCTCCTCGACTGCCCCGGCTAGGTCAAGGAGTGCCTCATCATCAGTGGCTTCCCCTTCACTGTCATCGTGGTCGGAGTCGCCCATGATAGCAGTCAGCTCTCTGAGTTTTTGCTCAGCCTTCTCTCTGGATGACATGCTTGTGGTGCTTCTTGTAGTCTCACTGCGAGTGTCACCATCCCTGCTAGCTTTGCTTCTTGTAGTCTCACTGTGAGCGTCACAATCCTTGCCATGTTTCCCATCCTCGAAGATGTGCTCGATCTTGTTTTTGACG